TGACTCTCCCGGTCCGGCACACTACTTGCACAGGTCGGCTCGATTGCTGACCCGTAGTCCTATCGCTTTTGTTCAGTCATAAGAGCATTGGAACCGACACGAGGAGGGCCGGCTTCGGCTGGGCTGTTGGTCCTGGTATGGGCCATCATGACCTCTCATTGAGGTCTCCTAAACCAGGACCAGGTAGGATGATGAACATCTAACCCTGCAAAATACGATCCCGCCGGTTCAGACCAATACACCATCAAGAGTATCTTCGAACGCAATATAGATGCGAAGAGAGGTGCCGGCATTGGGTACGGCCCTAGGGGGCGAGGAATGCTCGGAGGCCTCGACAACTCAGGTCAGTGCTAGACGTTTCTCGATCGGCCGATGACTGTTGCTAAGGTCCTGGTCCCGGCGGATACGAGCAAGCTGAGAAGATACCGGGCCCGAAGTGGAGTATGGGTCGTAGGACGGAATACGAGAAGGATTTCTGGAAAGGCCTCGAGCCGAGCCCGTTGGCATACTCTTTCACCCAGTTCGAGAGTAAACGGAAACACTGAGCATGATTGTATACCATTTACCAGAGCACCGGTGTCCATACTAGTAGTGAAGCTCTGTGTTAACCCACCTTCGGAACTGGTGTTGTTTTTGGCTTATCGAAAGCCTCCATGTCATCCGCTGAAGCTTCGACTGCCGGGAAGGTCGTCCGCTGCTGCAAATGCAATGCTGTTGTTAGTGTAGCGGGCTCGAGGAAGTCCAGGAGGAGGATGAGAAGGTAAGCTATTCACTGAATGCTTGCTATTCGATCGATTCCTTACTTTTTGCACAGTAATGTGATGTTGTATTGCTACTTCAGGCACTCGAGCCAGCGTTGTCTACCAGTACTCAGACCCAAGGTGTTATATGACCTCCACCCACCATACGCTGTTCTAGGCGGCTTATCAGAATACAGGACAGGTTGAGATATACCCGGCCGGACCATCACTAACACTAACTTTTCAGATTACATGCAGTTCGGCAACTACCCCGAGGATGAGATGGCTTTCATTACCTCCAGCAAACGAGGGCAGTCAAAGAGCGGAGTATGTCGGTGCAGTTGAAGTTGTCGACTCACTTCATGCTACCTTCAGTTGCCTCGGTCTAATAGCGAGCCTCCGCGATCAGCATCTGATAAGAGCATCCGTACCTTCTCCAACCACTCACCTTCCCGTTCATCGAGGTCTACCAGCTATGGCTGTAGCTCCTGCTACTCGAGGAGCTCGGGATCGACAGGGAGCTCCTCCACTGCATACACTAGCACCTACGGATCGTAAGGCGCTAGGCTTCTAGTTTCAAATTTGTCATCAGTCGTGCATACTGGTGGTGATCACTCTTGGAAGGCGCTTACGTTGGTCAGGTATTCCTCCTCGTCGTCGTTTTACGATTCGTGTTCATCATACTCGCTTGTGCCAGAATAGTCCAGACTCACCACCATGTCATCGTAGTTGTTGTTCCGGTGGTCTCTTGGTTATTGCGTTCAGTAGAGACAAGACCATATTTTTCCAACGAGAGAACCATCTAATAGGGCCCATCACAACCATCGAAAACGGCACATTACCATTACTCCTAGATCGGTGGTCAACTACGATGACTGAACACTTGAGCTAACCAATAACAGGAGAAGGATTTGTCGATGCTTCTGGCCTAGTGGTTCAGTGATCCCACTCGTGAGGTGAAGCCGCTTGAAACATCTCTACTTGGCTTTGTATTACTCGGGGAAGTACTATAATGACATCATTGAGTGTGGTTTCGGAAAGGAATTTCTCGGTTTCAATTACTCCCTCTCGAAACCAAACAAGGTGATCACGATTGCATTGAGATAATTGATAATGGAATCAACGGTTCACAGAAAAAATCAGGGATCGAACATGTTATTTTAACTCAAGATTGTCCTCTGTTGTTATCCACGTTAGAGCTTGTTGCGCGAAATAGCCTTCCTCCTTGACATCTCACACATCCTAATACGAACTTCGCTCAGCACGGATAGCAGAAGGCGTTTCTGATCTCGCAAAGGTAATGCACTCAACTCATCATTCAACAACCTTGAGAGGTCGAGTCTCCCGCTGGCAACTCCGCTCTCGGCCTCGGCGAATCGGTCGTACAGCATCGTGGGTAAACTGGCTTGGACATTACAGCGACCAGAACGGGAGGCATTGTAGACAGTAGAGAAGGCCTCCGTCATCCAACTCGTGAAATCGGGACCAATGTCGATTATTCTTCCCCATAGCCGATGGCCGAACCAAGCAGTATAGAATGTCTCATCGATGTACTCATCGAACCAGTCGTGATCATCATAGACAGTACTCCAGTCATCAACAGAGAAGTCATCGAAATAATCTTCATAATCCTCGTAAACAGAATCGTCTGACCAGGAATCGTCATCAGCGACAACTTCGTGATGATACTGATAACCGAGAGAACCTATTTTGTTGTAGTCGATGTAGGGACTAGTGCGCTCGTTGATAGTACTTTCGACTGAATCGCGATCCCAGTGTACTTCATCCAGCAAGGCCTGCCCAGTTGTTGTGTGGGGAGTTCCACAACTTCGCTTTGGACGAGACTAGTACCAATTATGTCTAACGATTTCACCTCACCGCGCATAACCAATTGAGGTTCCCAATCGAGGAAGTCGACTTCGGAGATCGAGGCTTTGCGAATAGGTCACGGTTGCACCCGAGGCAAACCTCACCGGTGAAATGCGGTCAAAAAGTAGTACGCATGTGCAAACTCAGTAAGCAGCACTGCATGGCACATGTGTAGCTACTTTGATTCTGGCTGTGGTGAGACTCATCAAGGCGGCCACAGTACGCTATTTTGACTGGAAGATGTTCGCTAACGTTGAAGGCTTCACTCGCAACTACTAGTGCTCATCTATCGGATTGATTTTATGTTCGCTCTCTGTTGTTAGTTTGCTCATGCTAAGAACTTGTGCCCGTTGAAATTCACAGTCCCCACCGACAAAGCAACGACTCCCAAGAACAACGTGGAGACCGTTCGGAGGCAGCCTCCGCGAATCCAATGCGATTCAGGAGCCGTATGCTCCGAATCGGAGCACACGGCTCAGAGACCTCAAGAGTTTTAGTCAAGATCACGAGGCTTACTTAAGTGGATTCTGAGATGGTTCTTTACTGGCTTCGTGGCGTCGTCGCCGACGACTCGTCATGGCACCTTCCATTTCAAAACAAGCATTCCGGAGGATGTAAGCTTCGCTGTTGCCAATGAAAGGGCGCCTGCGTTCAAAGAGATGCAGCAGAAATTCAAACAGATATGCCCAGCCTATGTCAAGGGTCGCGTAGACATGGGTGACCTTGGAGATTACGATTACGAGGATGGTGCGATAAAGACGTGGATGTGTGGAGAACGGTTGGTCCTGAAAAGAGTGGTGTGAGCTTACCCTCATTATTTCATCGTCATCTACCAACA